GGTTACCCTGTTGGCAATGGCCTGAAAGAGATCCTCCTAACATAAAAAATATGGAGACTTATCCTGCCCCATCTCAGCTTAAAGTGTCTCCTTGTAACAAAAGTACATCCTACTCTTACCTCATCATTCGACACTCTGGCAAAAACTTAAACCTCCTAGAAGTACCCCATTAACCTCACAAATCCCCTACATACCAGAAGCTGCATCAGCCTTTACAAACGAAACGGACAGAAAAGGTCACAGAAATCTTACAAGGATGTTGAGGCATTACAGGTGTGTTCTTAGAGAGGAGGTCTTTGATAAATTGAGCATGAGTCTCTAAGAGAGAAGAGCCAAAATGTCAACCTCTTCCTCCCCTCAGATTTATGAATCTTCCAGCTAGAGGCAAAAGCATCACTCCATCAAGATCAAAGCTCAGAGAGGTGAGAAGAAAAGGGAGAGGACCAGAGATGCCCCTGGGATGGAAGTATGTCTGTTTTATGTAACATGCATGGTCTGTGTTCTAGAAAGCATACTGCTTAGGAAACCCATTTAATAGTCCCCATAAAATAAATACTTTCTTTGCATTAAGAATACAAAAAGATGGATATGCTCCTTCCCTGGAATGTATAAAGCAAAGGTTAAAAGTTCCACCATGTTTTCAGCTCAGAGGAAATAACTTTTGATTCATCAGCCCAGAGTCCAGATTTTTCTTGGAAGAATAAAACATGGAGACTGAGAGTATTTGCAATACTTCAGCTGCCACGCTCTGTTGTGTCAAGGTACTTACTGATAAAGGCGTTGCTAGTCGTTGAAGTCAAAGCAGCCTCCAAAGATTGACTTAAAAGATAATAACTACACCAGAGAGCCTTAATAGTTTGCTGAACTCTGTGATATGCATTCTTGGAAGACTGCATAAATATCACATGATTCACAGACTCATTGATATTTCCACTTTCATATTTGCTATTTGGTATGATGGTAATTAACAGAAAGATATTAGGCAATGCTGTGATTATGGACAAAGAACAAAGGCTGAGAGAAACCAACTTCTCAGTTCTAAGAAAAGAAACACCAAAGGAAATGAAAATATCAAAGGGCTATGTGTCCCTTGATACACGTTTCAGCCAAACTCAGACATGTGCAAAGGGCTGCTCAGTCTTGTCTGAGTAACACCTCATTTCTTAACATTTGTAGACTTTGCAAAGGCTGAACAAGGACAAAAAAGGAGCATGAGGATCCAGAAGATCAAGCCCTGAACTAGGATATTAATCAAAGGCATTGCTTCTGATCTGAATCCATCCCTTCTCTTGCTCATCTGCAAAATGGGACCAACGCTATTTGTGTCGTCGAAATCACTTCTTTATTCATCGAGTCATCCATTTCTTTCAATCACTTTAATGTATAAGGCACTGGGAACAATGGTGAATGCACCACGGGACCAGCCCTCAAAGGCTTCCCAGTCGAGGAGGGGAGATAAAACAGGTATGTGGAAAAGAACATTCACATTGAGAGTGGCAAGTGTCATCTTAAATAAGCAACAAAAGGAAGTGGTATCACCAGCTGCCAAAAATTTGGTACCAAACTTGAAATCTCTCTCACGAAAGCATAGGATCTCACAGCAAGTCCTTTCGCCGCATTCACGGTATCATCTTACTTTCTTACTTTTATATTCTTTTAGCCTAAATTTTCCCCTTAATTTTAAGTTTATTCTCTTTACCAATCTTGTCTGATCTTCGTAAACCTTTTCTTGAACAAAGAAGGCTATAAATAAAGAGATAAGCAGGTGACTTGGAGAAGCCTTCGTAAATATGTGCTTGACTGTAAATGACTGATGTACGTATGGGACGTGCGAATTGTTAACTGCTGTACAACGTAAAGAATACGTTGTTCTTGTGATCATGATGATGATGATTATCTTAACACAAATTGTTTCTATTCCTATCAACATGGAATGTAAATTTATACAAATCTTTTCTGACAAAAGATCCAACAGTGTTTCTAAGCTATAATAGAAGGACCTACGCATGGTCAGGGCTGGGTAAACTGATCCTATTCACTGGCTTTCAGGCTCAGTCCCAGCAGCTGGGGCTCAGACTCTTCTTGTGACTGAACTAAATGCTCACCAAGTGACACCTATGTCCCCTGAGGACAGAATCCCAGACCCAGTTGCTAGGTTCTGATCTGCCTTCTGTTCTGAGAGAGGGACTTGCCAGAATCTTCTCCCTGGGCAAGAAGCTGGAAATGAGGGAATAGATAAATACATACTCCCAGCCACTTAGGGGCAAGCTAACCTCATGGTGCTCCCTAAGCCTGAAATCCTGACCTCCTTGCTCTGCCTCTCTGAATATTACTCATCTTCAAAGCCCAGTCCAAATGCCACAGCCTCAGTAAGGCCTCCGTCCCTGGCAGCATGGCGGGCTATCCTCTCCTTCCTCCCAGTCTCTATCACAGAAGCCCTGCATCATCCTTGCCGTCGGTGCTCCCTCTGATGAGCTCCTGGAGGCGGGCACTGTTCAGAACCAATCCTACTCATCCCTGGGAACCTTCCCCAGCGACGGGCATGGTGCCCAGAATTTGCTCAGTTAGTACATATTAAATCACCTTTTTTCCCCTCAGTTTTCCTTTTCTTTTTTATAACTTCTTGGATAACACCACCACCAAAACTCTTCAAAGGGAGGAACCATCAAACATTTCGTGTCAGGCCAATTAGCAGGAACATGTGCTGTCGTTAACTGAGAGTGAGAACAAAGACTGTGAGGACACATTTCACTTTTTGCCATGGTGAAGAAGGATAGCACAGGGTGGCAGTAAGTGGGTCTGAGTTCAAATCCTGACTCTGAAATTTAGCATTTTTGGGACACTTTGTAAGTTTCTGAAATTCTCTGACTCTTTTTACACTTGTAAAACTAGGACTGTGAAAGACTATGGGGAAGACTCAATGAGAGTGATTAGAGCATCCAGGACCTGGAGCACAGCAGTCACTCAACAGACGTGGCTTCCTTCCTTCCTCAAATGAGGAAGCCAAACTAATCCCATCCTCCCAGGAGAGAGGAAAAAAATAAACAAAAAGAGAATCGAGCAATGTCAGAAAGAGCAAGCACATTTGTATAAAGACTCATTCCTGCTCACGAAGGCATAACTGAATAATTCAAGTTTGCACCCAAGGCAATTAATTGGCCAAGCCCCACAGACATCCATCTATGCTTTAGACATGGAAATTTATATTAAATTCTTAGTATGCTTAGGATACATAATGCTAAAACTAAATAAGATTGAACTGACGATGAAAAGCATACCATTTTTTAAAAGTCAAGTTTTGAATGTTTTTCTTAACAGAGCATTAGTGTACCTCTCTTCATATATATATAGATGGGACTTGAACCATCTGCTTTATTAAAAAACAAAAAAAGACATAACGAAAAGAGGTCCAATTGTAATTGGCAGTAAGAAAAATTGCATTCCTCCTGCTTTTTGCTCAGGCATACTGCCATCAAAGTGTTATGCCATAAAATTTAATTTTTGAGTTTTGAATGATTTACAGTGGAGCAGAACTTATAAATCAGAACAGTAATCATTGCTATGAATAGAGATGTATGTTTTTCCAAAATGTCTAAATGAAATACTTTGACGCACACTAAAAGACCTGCACAGTTCTCCAAAGGCAGCCATAATTGAAGTTAATCATTCTTGTTTGGACAGAAGGAAACTTACTGACACCTAGGCACCTCCCCCTCCTTAAAATGAAGTGATCAAATAGTCATCATCTCTTCTTATGAAAGCAGTTAATCACGGCAATATATCATACTATTGCAACTCGGTTTCTAGCCTTGTCTGTTGAGTTTGTAAACCTTTTCTAACGTCTTTGAATGTGTCTTTAATCAGATGCAATTCTTATAATAGTTAGGACACCCAGAGTATCAGTATGCAAAAGCCTTGTTTACGTATGCTCACCAAGACAGAATCCCTCCCATTCTTTCACAACCCAATATCCAACCCAACAGGAAGTCCTCTGCACTTTGCCACTTCTGTCTATCTACCTATTCTGCACCCTCCCCATCTCTTACTTGAATCACTGCCACCGCCTCCTAATTTCCTGCCTGCCTCCAGTGTAGGGGGAGCAGAGGAGTGGGCTGCCCCAAACGTGAATTGCATCATGGCACTCTCTTTCTTAAAATTCTCGAACGCCTTCATATGGTGCTTAGCGTAATAGACAGCCTTCTCACGGTGGCTTTTGGGGGCCTACGTGAGCCTGGCCCTGACCACTCACAGCCCTCATGCAGTTTCTCCTCATTAATTCTTTCTATTCTGCAAACACGTTACTTTGTACATACTCCATGATCCCAAATTTGTGGTAAATTCTGGATGGACAGATAGAGATGGATAGATTTACATATTGCATACCAAAAATACAGGAAGAAAAAACATCCATGTGTTAATAGACTTTATCTCTGATGGGTGGGATTTTAGGTAACTTGCTATTATTCTCTACATTTGGATGTATATTACAAAATTTTGGAAATTAACATATTTTAGTTCAAAAGAGGAAAAGACAGCAGACATATTCTGCAGGACTCTAAAGTGCAGAACTAGGACTGTTAGGTGCAAACTCATAAAAGAAACCAAGGTTCAAGTCTTAACTTCTGCAGAAGAAGGATAACAGAAGTCTTCATTCTAAATTTTATCATCCCCAAAAGTCTTTCCCAATGACTGACCAATCAAAACATTTTTTTTGAACAGCTGTGCTCTGATCTCCCTCCCCTGAAATGTAGACAAAGGGCCCCTGGAGCCAGCATGGGCCACAGAGATAAAGGGCAGCTCTGAGAATAGCAGTCAGAATTAGGGAGAGAGTCTGAAACCACATAAGTCGTTAAGCATCTAGTAATATTAATAAATACTTAAGGTTTTTAATCTCTCCAACCAGATTGTAAGCTCTATAAAGGCAGGGATCATATCTATCCATCTCATTTGTTTAACAAATACCTATCCATCTTATCTGTATTTACAGCTGCAAAACCTACCTCATGCAAGCACTGTTTTAAGTGTTGAGACCACAGCAGTGAAGACGAGAGACTCTGCTCCTGGCTTCACGGGATTGCATTCTAATGGACAAAGAAAGAAAATAAATAAATTACACATAATACTAGAGAGGGATAAGTAATACCAGAAAATTAAAATAGAGGAATGAGATGGAGAAAGATGAGGTGTCTTCTTTACATAGTATGCCAAGAGACACTTCTTGAAGGAGTCTATACTAGAGCTGAGAGAAGAATGATAGGAAAAAGCCAGTCCCAGGACATTGCCTTCTGGGGGGCTGAGGATAGTTGCGAGTGAAGTTCTGGAGCAGGAAAGCCCTTGGGGTGTGAGAACAACAGACGTAAAGCTAGTTTGTCTGGAGCTGGGGGGGAGAGGATGAGTGGCAAAGGAAGGAGATAAGGTCAGATACACATAGCCAGATCATGAAAGGTCTTACCCATCATGTAAGGAGTTTGTCTTTTTTCTAAGTGTGATGAAAATCCATTGAGAGTTCTAAAACAGGGGAGTGAAGCGATCTTGCTTTTGAAAAACTCACTCTGGCTACTGTGTGGGGAATAGACTAGTGGACACAGGAAAAGACCAGTTATGTGGCTATCGCTGAGATGTTGAGGTCTTGGGATAGGACGTAGCCATAGAAAGGAGAGAAAGGAATTCCTTCCAGGCTGCAGGTGGAGTTGACAGAATCAGCAATGGAAATAGTGAGACTAAGGAAAAGCAGGGATCAAGGATGACTCCCAGGCTTGGAACTTATTCACAAGCGTGTCTCCAGCACCCAGCTCAGGTCTTGACACAATGAGCACTTGGTGACTGAGTGGATGGATGGATGAATAAATGGATAGAATGACCATGAGAAGGAAAGCCTAGAGCAATTCTATGTGTTTTGGGGTCGGGGGGAGGCATCAGCCATCTTCCCCAATTCCTGAGGACCCACTAGGCATTTTCTAGGGGTCTTTACAGGGACAGCAGTGGGGAGGACAGGACTTAAGAGCATGTGGATTTCAGTGATGCTGTGGAGTGAACAATCTTGTATTTAAGTAGCTCCAACCCTCACTCGCTGTTTGTCCTTGTGTTACTTTGTTAGCCTCTCTGAGCCTCGGTTTCTCTAGCTACAAAATGGAGATAATTGTATCAACCTCATAGTCCTGTCTCTGCTGTGCATGGCTTGTGCAGCCATGGGTGAGCCACTTAAGCCCTCTGAAACTCAATTTCCTCAAATAAGCACTACTATCTCTCTCACAAGACGATTAGAAGGTTAAGTAAAAAAAAAAAAAAAAACACAAATAAAGAAAGAAAAATGCATATATTGATACAGAAGTGCTTTGTCACCCTTGAGGACCACACAGACCAGAGCACAGCTGTTGCGTCAACATGACTCAGCAAAGCCAGGTAAGGGCAGGAGGAACCCCCACGACCAAACCAACGTCAGGACTTGCCTAGAGGCACAGTCTCCTTTTCACCAAGACGCCCATGGCCATCATTTCTGACTATCATGGTTCCAACAGGGGCAGGGCCCTGTCTCACAGCCATCTGTCAGGATGTGAAGAGAAAAGGTTTGAAAAGACCAGAAAGGAGAGGTTTGGGGGCCCTGTGCAGCATTGGGTTCAGCCTGTAGGAAGAGCACTGCATTGTGGGCACTCCAGCACTAATTGAGGATGACGGGCTGGATAAATGTATTTATAGCTGCAAAACCCAGAACTTTCTGGCTTACACCCCATCCTACTCTAAATGCCCCACACCTGAGGCCCACTGGGCACACAGGCTGGGAAGGGAGGAACCCAAGAGCATGGAGGGCCAGAGGACCAGATATAAATCGCATCCAGACTTCCTTTTCTAAACCCAGGAAATACCAGTCAATTTATATCTCATCATCTTAACCCTGCAGGTCTGGTTAATGGTTTGACCCATGTATTCTCTCCTTTTCCAAAATCTTGTCCTGTTCCCTCTTAACTTGATTTACTCTACTTACTCCAGCTGCTGACTTTGGCAGGTTTTCCAGCTCTCAACCGACCGCTGCATGCGGGCATCATCCTGAATGGTTTCCACTGCAGCAAGGGTGCAATGGCTCTCGCTACAAGCTCGAGAAAGTGCTCACTCTCATAACTTGGGCTGGAAAAACACCCTCCCTCGGCCCCACCCCTCTTCACTTTCAACACCCAGGCACACTTTGGGGCGCAGCATGAAAAGCCAGGCTAAAAGGGGCTTGTATTTTTACACCATATTTGAGTTAGCTGTTTTATCTGGACGTCAACCTGAGCAGGGAGACGAGGGGGAGAGAGAGGGGCTTTATGAACTCAAAACCAAAATAGACCATTTAAGCAGGGCTGAGTGAAGTCACTGAATGTGCCGTGGAAAATACTTTCAAGGCATTTTATAAATTTTGCACCCAAAAAAAGTCTCAGCCAAGTTGGACTAGCAGCTTTCAGATATTCAAATCCTCCATTTTTCCATGATTTTCCTTATGGCTTAGGGACTTAAGAAAACAATGAGAACGTGTCCCAAAAAGTTACATGAGCACGGCGTGTAAGCTCACTTTCCTACAAATGAGCCACAAAAATTACAGGCTCTGTGAAGAAAGTGACCTTCTCAGAATTCTCCCTCCTTCTTCCTCACCCTCTCTTCTTTCTTCTCTTCTTCCTCTTCTCACTATTGCTATTAACATTAATTGACCATATCACCAATGGTTTCTGCCTCCTGGGCTCCTGCTTCTACTCAGCCTCACTAGTGGTTTTCCAGAGAAATGTCCCGAACCCAAAACTGTCATGAGTTTGATAGACTTGAGTGGTTTGTAGTGTCTATGCATCCTGTCTCCTCTCTCACACCCACTGGCTGGAGGGCACTGCCAATGGAGCCCCCTGTGCCCCACATAGGTGTCGTCTCTCCAGATCTTTGCGCCTCCTTGTAGAATACCCTGTTCTTTCTCAACCCTCCATTCTCAGTTCTACCTGCCCGAGTTCTCCTCCTACCACAGGTCTGCCCAGTGCCTCCTCCACTATGGTGCTCCCCATCTCTGACTCTACCGGACACTTCCTCTGCTTCCCCTCCACCAAATTTGTTCTTTCTATCTTGGCCAAGACTGTTGGCTCATCCTAGGTGAGCATCCTTACTCTGGAACTTGTTAGCTGTGTAATTGTAGGCATTAACTTAAACTTCCGGAGACTTGGTCTTCTCTGCTGCAAAACACAAAATAATAATATTTATCTCATAGAGTTGTATGAAAATGAAATGTAAAAAATGCATGTGGAACTCTTAACATGGACTGGTACATTCTAATGGGTCAGTAAATGTAAGCTGTTGGCTTATTACCTTGTCAGAGAAATGCTTGAGTCTAACCATATCTTTTCTACTGTATCTCACACTTCTTAATATCAGGATTGATATAGTGTCTGCCTTTGAACCTCTCACTACCCTAGCTAGAAATGACTGGACACATATATGTGCCAGGCTGTGTGCTTATTGCTTTATATGTTTGTGATGGTCAGTTTTATGTGTCAGCTTGGCTAGGCTATAGTATGCAAATAGGCAATCAAATAGAGCTAGGTGTTGCTGTGAAGGTATTTTGTAGATATGATTAAAGTCCATAATTAGTTGCCTTTATGTAACAAGGATTATCCTAAATAATCCGGGTGGGCCCGATTCAGTCAGTTGTAAAATCTTAAAGGCAGAACTGAGATTTCCCAGAAGAACAAGATTCCACCTGTGGAATACAACATCAACTTCTGCTGAGAGTTCCAGCGTGTCTTCCCTGACAGCCTGCCGTGGGGACTTCAGACTTGGCTAGCCAACCTCTATAATGGTATAAGCCAATTCTTTACAATAGATCTCTCTCTCTCTCTCTCTCTATATATATATATATATATTCATATCCTACTGGTTATGTTTCTCTGGTGGAACCCTGACTGATACAATATTAGTACATTTTAATATTAGTATCAGTACCAGTGTGTGATGGTTAATTTTATATGTTAACTTGGCTGGGCCATGGTGCCCAGATATTTGGTTAAATTCTGGACGTTTGTGGGAGGGTGTTTTTCGATGAGATTAACATTTAAATCAGTAGACTTTGAGTAAAGCAGATTGCCCCTCATAATGTGGTGGGCCGTGTCCAATCAGCTGAAGGCCTGACTAGAACAAAGTCTGACCTTTCCTGAGCAAGAGGAAATTCTGCCAGTGGACTGCCTTAGGACTTGGACAGCAGCCTCGGCCCCTCCCTGGGACTCCAGCCTGCCGGCCCACCTGCATATTCTGGACTTTCCAGTGTCCATAATTGCATGAGCTGATTGCTTAAAATAAATCATTTTCTCTGTATATAAACATTCTATTGGTCCTGCTTCTCTGGAGAACCCTGATGACTACACAGTACTAGAATAGGTATTGCCATTGCAATTGCTGTCACTATTAGAATTGGCATCAGTATTAGTACAAGTTTTAGCCTTGGTAGTGGCTTAGTATTGGTTTTAGCATTATCAGTATTAGGATTAAGATTGACATCCTATTTGATACCTGAGGCTAGATAGCGTCAACCGCAAGTGCTTTGAAACCTGAGTTCTAATCCTGATCTGTGAAATACAAATACTATGTCCTTCCCACTCCTCTCACCTGTCTCCCAGGGCAAAGGGCTCACACCTGGAAGGTTACAGATAAATATGTATCCAGCCAAAGTTGGGCAAACTGGAAGATGTGCAAAACCAATTTCCTGTCGGACGGAAAATTTAAGGGGACAGACACTTGAGGGACTTGCTTTAAAACTCTGAGGGCTTTCATGAGTCTAAAAGAAAGTCTATTAAAATAGTTTCCACTGGAGCAAAGAAAAGTCCGTGAAGCTGGAACACGTTATAGATGAGAGTCATCACACATGTGTGCTGTAGGTCAAGTATTAAAAAGATAAATGTTCTACGCAGGAAACATCTGAAATATGTGCATTATGGATGGGCTTCCCGGCAGGTGGACAATTGTGAGCAGTCTGAAGTATGGCTGTTTTCACCCCTCGGCAATAAATAGCCACAGGAGACCCTGCCTGTGATAACAGGCAGGGAGACACTCCGTTCATCTTAAGTCTCATTTTCTCAGTTTGGGGTCTTTTGAGTCAGAAACTTCCCCTTTGTGTCAACAAGGCTTACGTGAATGTTTAATTTATTATACACCATCTGAGGGCCCAGGAGACAACATTGGGATGATTTTTTTTCATGAAATAACTATATCTCAACTATCAAATTAAATTGAAAATGCAACATAAAGATAAATAAACTTTGTCATGATCGATGTTAGCCCTGGTCATTGACAAATTTATCTTTTTCCTAGATGGAAGGAAGTAAGAAAGAAGTAAACCAATGGTTCTGAAGCACATTATACATACTAGGCACTCAGCGAGGTGCCTTCAGACGATTAATGCGATTCCCTCTTTGTCTCAGCACAAAATGGGCCAGGTTACTGCAAGTCCTGCCATTGTTCATGTATTGTGCTTCCTCCAAGAGCACCACATTCCTCGTTCCCCACTTCTTTGTCTAGAGGACACGCATCCTTGAAGAATCAGGCTGTGGTTTCCATTCAAGATCAGCTGAGACTAGAGTTGCAGGATTTAACAAATAAAAATGCAAGTTGATCAGTTAAATTTGAATCTCATGAAACAATGAACAATATTTTTAGTCTAAGTAGGTCCCATGAAATATTTGTAACACATTCATTTTGCAAAATTATTCATTGTTTATCTGAAATGCAAATTTCACTGGATGTCCTATATTTTATCTGGCAACACTCCCCGAAATGCTTCACTTGCCTCTGCCTGTCCTCGGGAATTCTACCTTCATTGCTAGAAGACTCGCCCTCCCCACCTACACACGCGTGTGTGCTTCCGTGACTTTTTCTTCCTGACCTCTTAGGTCTTCGGCTCTTGTCCTTTCCACCCCCACCTGCCTTTTAAAATGGAAATCGGGGTGGCTGGTGGCGCAGTTAAGTGCGCAGCTTCCGCTTCTCAGCAGCCGGGGGTTGGCCGGTTCGGGCAGACATGGCACAGTTTGTCAAGCCATGCTGTGGTAGGCATCCCACATATAAAGTAGAGGAAGATGGGCACTGATGTTAGCTCAGGGCCAGTCTCCCTCAGCAAAAAGAGGAGGATCGGCAGCAGATGTTAGCTCAGGGCTAATCTTCTTCAAAAACTAAAAATAAAATAAAATAAAATGGAAATCAGATCACATCACTCCTCAGCCTAGATTCCTCTGGAAGCCTCCACTTCACTCCAAATAAAAGGTGGGGCTTGATCTGCCCCAATGCCACCATTCATCTCATCTCCATGCCAGGCTGTTCCCAGCACACACCAGGCGCGCTGTTCTGCCCCCTTGGCGTTTGCGTGTCCGTTTCCCTCTGCCAGGGATTCTCTTCCTCCAGACATCCACTGGTTTGCTTTATCACCTGTTTTGCCTTTGAGCAAAATGGGAGGCTCACCCTGACGTCCTCCCAACACTCCCCATCCCTCTTCCCTACTTTGCTTCCTCTGTAGCCACCAACTCTTCCAAGCTTTGATAGAATTCACTGATTTATCTTATTTGTTTATCTCTCTGACTCCCTGCCATTGAGTGTCCTGAGAGAGGAGTTTCTGTTGGTTTTTTTTCACCTCTCTATCCCCAACATAAAGGCCAGTACCTTGCTTAGAGTAGGCACTTGGTAAATATTGTGGGGGCGGGGGTGGGGGGGAGGAGGAGGGAAGGGAATGAGGGAGAGAAGGAGGGAAATAGGAAGAGAAGGAAGGAGTGGGGAGCTCAGAGATCTGAAGATGCCTGATGTAGTGAGAATGTAGAGCCTTCTTCATAGTCCTAAAGGAGGTGGCAAGACCTCTGAGCGCTGTAGGCTTCTCGACACAAGTGTACCCAGGACTGAGCTGATTCCTCCGTGTAAGTGTGCCACTGAGTCACTAGAGCCTCCAGGAGTGCAGGGACCATGCAATGCATTAGGGGTGACCATGAGGTCGACTAGGTCTCCCAAACGATGTTCTCCAGACATGACACCTGGGATATTCTTAAAAGTCTAGGGAAGAAGCAGAGACCCAAAAATGACTGAGTGACGCTGAGCTTCCCACCAGCATGTGAGATGGGGGCTTGGAGTCAGATTAAGATTGATTTAGGGAAACAAACAAAAAAATGACATTTCTTGCAAAACCAATTATTGAAGTTTGTACAAGCTAAATTCTCTGTTAAAAAATTGTATGATCATGTAAATAATAAAAATAGTGTAGTCCTAGTGTCCCGCTTGCTAGCAGAGTGACCCTGGGCAAGTCATCTCTCTGAACATGAAGTATCTCATCCATAAAATGGGATCACTGTACCTCATGTATCAGTCAGAACATGTTAGGTTATGCTGAAGTAACACATAATCCCCAACTCTCCATGTCCTAAAATAATAAAGGGGTATTTCTTTTTTGTGTTTTGTTAATTTTTAAAAATTTTTTCACTTGAGTTCCTAATAGTTTACATCATTGTGAAATTTCAGTTTTATATTATTTCTTATCTGTCCCTTCACCCACTGTGCCCACCCCCACCCCCCCTTCCCCTGGTAACCTCTGAACTGTTTTCTTTGTCCTTGTTTTTGTTTATATTCTACATATGAGTGAAATCATCTGGTGTGTGTTTTTCTCAGTCTGGCTTATTTTGCTTAGCATAATTCCCTCCAGTTCCATCCATGGTGATACAAATGGGATGATTTTGTCTTTTTTTCTGGCTGCGTAGTATTCCATTGTATATATACATATATACCACATCTTCTTTATCCAATCATCAGTCGGTGGTCACTTGGATTGTTTCCATGTCTTGGCTATTGTGAATAGTGCTGCAATGAACATAGGGGTGCAGATGTTACTTTGGATTGTTGATTTCAAGCTGTTTGGGTAGATAGCCAGTACTGGGGTAGCTGGGTCATATGGTAGTTCTATTTTTAGTTTTTTGAGGAATCTCCGTACTGTTTTCCATAGTGGCTGCACCAGTTTGCATTCCCACCAGCAGTATATGAGGGTTCTAAAGGGGTATTTCTTTTTTTTCTTTCTTTTTGAGGAAGATTAGCCCTGAGCTAACATCTGCCAACAATCCTCCTCTTTTTGCTAAGGAAGACTGGCCCTGAGCTAACATCAGTGCCCATCTTCCTCTACTTTATACGTGGGACACCTGCCACAACATGGCTTGACAAGCAGTGTGCAGGTCCGCACTCAGGATTCAAACTTGTGAACCCCAGGCCGCTGAAATGGAACGTGCAAACTTAACTGCTGTACCACTGGGCCGGCCCCCTAAAGGTGTATTTCTTGATCAGACAATATGTCCATCAGATCAATGAGGGAACTTTCCTCCTCATGGCATTCAAGAACCCAGGCTGACCAGGCAGCCTCCCTCTCAGACATTCCTGGTGGCCGTGCCAGAGGGAACAGGAGCTCTGGAGGGTCTCTCAATGGCAATCAAGTGCCCTACCCCAGAAGTGACATGTGTCACTTTAGCTCACAGTTCATTGGCCAAAACTAGTCACAAGACCCCAAAAATAAGGTGATCACAGAGTGTGATGATAGTTTGTGCCCAGGAGAAAAACAGCAAAAAATATTTGGAAAAACATCCCATAGGATACCATAGGGCAAGTCTGAGGGCGAAATGAGGTAATACACATAAAGTTTACTGCAGTGCCTGGCACATAAAATGTACACCATAAATGAAAACTGTAACGAGATGTTGTTGGATCCTTAGAGTCTTAGGGGAAGGCAGAGATGAAACTCATTCTGTGCCTAATCCTGAGCTTAGTGCTTAATAGATATTCCTTTAATGAGCACTGTTGATGGAGTTCACTGAACTCTTACTATATTTCAGACGATAGACAGCTTTTGCCTCTGAGAGCTCGCGAGGGAGAGGACAGAAACATCATAATTTCAGCATAGCTCCATTCCCATGCCTACCCACGCCTACATCACCAATATTTATTTAGTGCCTTCTATGTTCTCGGAAAGCACCGTTCCAGGCATTAGGGATACAGAGCGAAGCCAACAGAGAGTCCCTGCCTTCAGTGTGCTTACATTCTGTGGGAGGATGAGGAGGCAGAGAGTAAACGTGTAATCAAATACGTGAGATAACTTCCTATCGCAGTTTTGATGAGTGCTGGTGCTGCGAAGAAGAAAACGTGGCATAATGCAGTAGGAGGGGAATCTCTAGGGATGGAGGAGGAGGCAATACATTTGCCGTGTCTGCCTCTTGTCCTTCTTGCTACCATTTTTTACTATAGGTAACCCTCAAAATTTTCAGGATAGGGGCAACTGGAAGAAATAATTCATGATTATATGATTCCTGAGACATCCTTTAATATATTCTTTAAAATATATATTATATCCTTTATATCCTATATTTAAATACATCCTATATGTATATCCATATCCTTTTTTTTTTCTTGAGGAAGATTAGCCCTGAGCTAACGTCTGCCTCCAATCCTCCTCTTTTTGCTGAGGAAGACTGGCCCTGAGCTAACATCCATGCCCATCCTCCTCTACTTTATATGTGGGACGCCTGCCATAGCATGGCTTGACAAGAGGTGTGTAGGTCCACACCCAGGATCCAAACGAGCGAACCCTGGGCCACCGAAGCAGAACGTGCGAACTTAACCATTGCGCCACAAGGCCGGTTCCCAGTATATCCATATCCTTTTAAAGAATATTCATGATATCCTTTAATTCTCACAACAAACCTACAACTAGTTTTTATCCTTCCCATTTTCAGCTGTGAAAATGGAAGCGTAGAGATATTCGGTAGCATGCTGAAGTTCCCATAGCTGAAGTTCCAAGATCTTAGGCCAGGCACAAACACAAAGCCGCTCTTAGTCTTTCCACAATACCGCGCTACAATTTACGGCCCTACTTTCCCTTTAAAATGAGTTGGCATTTTCATTTCAGACCCATTCTGGCCAAACCAAAAAGGAGAGGGAATACTTAGCAAAATATATTTGATCACAGAAAAAGAGTAAATGTAGCAAATGTTGAATTGGCTCAGTTTTCTCTGGTCGTCTTTGTCTTCTGTGAGTGAATGGAGAAAGAAAGGCGAAGAGAACACAGGACAGATAAGAGGCCTCTGATATGGCTGGGACAGCTTACGCTTGTTTTTAAAGATTAGGCAGGGATTCAGACATGTGTAGTCCAGCCCAGTCTGGAATTTGTGTTTCATGGAGTTGATTCCTTATGAACCACAAAACGATTTTCACTTGTCCCTAGTGTTATTTGCAGAAATACGTGTCAGAGAGATCAGAAAATGATGCCATATTCTCTTTTCAAATGACCCCAGTAAACAGTCTGTTATATTTCTTGGTTAGCATGGTGCATTCAGTTATGTTTCAAGTTCCTGCCATTTGGGACCTCCTTCATGCAAAGCTTTGCACAAGCTTAGCTTTCAGCTAGGAAATAGAAGTATCTGTATTATTTTAGGGTTCTGATTTAAACTTTCTATAAATGAGTTGTTTGTTAGATTTATTTGCGAAATATTTTCTGACACCTTGTTACAATTAATCTACACCCCCGATTGCAACCTGAGTCCTAAGAGAAAAGTCTGAATCATTTGG